CTAGGCTACATATGGGAACACATTTTTATATATAAGCAAGAAGTAAACAGCAAAAGTAATACAGTAATGGTAGATGACACTCAGCAGGAACAGATTTATGTTCAGGATTCAGTCAGTCAGCTAAAAATCTATTCCAGGAACACCCAGAAATACTCCTAAAAGTGGACATCTGATCTTAATTAAATTCTGCTGCAAAATGTATAAATTATATTTCTCTACATCCAAGCTTCAATTTATCTAAAGATATCAAATGCAAAAAAGTCCTAAAATATAACAAATGTGAATAAGAAAATGCAGGAACGGTGGTCTGATTATAATGTGATGATGTAATTTTGTAAATAAAAACATTAAAATTTTCTATTTACTAGATACCTTAAAATATTTTATATTTATATAAATGTAGCAAATAAATATGCCATCTTGATCTGCCTACAAATAAAAGACCTTGGGAACACCGTGGGGCCTGCCAGTGGAAAGAGATTCTTGAAAACAGTGGCACCCCCAAGTTATTACACCCTCTTCTCAAACCCACCAAGCCCACTCAGATGGTGCAAAGCAGACTGGAGTCCAGGAAGCTGAGCCGAGCAAATGCAATGGATTTCCACACCCAAAAATATTCCTCAAACTAATTCCTCTAGTATTATGGCAAGAAAAATGTCTCCTTCTCCATTTTCTGCACACCATACATAATTTCGAATGCATCTGTCATGCCTCCCCTTATTTCCCTATTTTCTAAGTTAAACAATTCCAACTGTTGTGCATAGGAGAACTGCTCCAACCCCCTTGATCATTTTAGTTGTCCTCTACACTTTTTCCAATTCTGCAATGCCCTTTTTCAGGTGTAACCAGAACTGAACACAATATTCTAAGTACAGTTGCACCATAGATTTGTGTAAGGGCAGTTTGATATTGGCAGTTTTATTTTCAATTTCTTTCCCAATTCAATTCCTTTCCTAGCATGCAGTTAGTCATTTTCATGACAGCCATGCACTAGGGCATACCTTTGTGGATGCTGCGTTGATGCTTTTTTTTTTTAAGCAGGGTTTGCTCCCCTATGTGCTTACTGACTCTATCATTAATAATGTTTTCAACCAATTTACCCAGAACTAACCAGCTGGTAACTTCCTGGATAACTTTTTAAAAATCTGAGTTACAGTGAACATTTTCTAGTTCTCTGGTACAGGGGCTCATCTTAGAGGCATGTTCTCCCTCAAGTTTCTTCCTTTATTTTAGGTTTCTCACTGCTTAATGTGTTTAATTGCAAAATACTCCATGTGCCATGTATAAACACATCTGACCAAATGCAAGATACTCCTATTAATTACAATAGATTTGAGTCCTCCAGAAGTTGGGACAATATCATACACCTGTCAGTGATAAGACAACAGTTTCATCATGTAAATTTTCTATCAACATCAATGTAGAAACTGAAAATCCACTTGCAACTGAAAATGTTACTGTGAAAGAGGATGGTTTACAACACTCCACAGAATTCCTTGTTCATTATCGAAATACCACTGTAAGATGGTATTTCCAATCCAATTTCTTTTTTGCAGTATATACTTGAAACTGAGCCCTGAACCCCTTGTGGGCAGCTGTGGATTAAATGGTGATTGTTCCTTTAATTTTTAGCTGTCCTGTCACTGACTCTTCCTGCATGCTGAAGTTCAGTCTCTATTCTGGTGATTCCAACATTTGGTTTCTATATAATGATAGTAGGATTCAGTGTTAATAAGCCACGAATTATCTTGAACTTCAACCAGATTTTCCACAACTGCTATTACCATGTTTCAATATTCTTGGGAAAACCTTGCCACTTGATGTTCACTTAATTAAGTTTCTTTTAACAGCTTTTTTGCTGTAAAACCAATTTTGCTTTCTTCTATTAAGGAAGTTCTCAGATAATTTCAAGTTCATAGCTGAGATCTGAGTGACAATTTTTGCAGCTTTTTTGGATTTTATGCACCAGCTCATTAATTTCCTTATTACCTCATTAAGTTTTTCATTCAAAAAAGGCGCCAATGGCTTTTAGTTTTGAAATCTCTGTAGAAATGCTTCAAAATATCCAGCAATTTTCTCACAAACACAATTTTTCATTTCATGAGTAGATTGAAATTGAAAGGGGATTGCCGTTTTCTACTCAACTTCCAGACTTACTGCGTGGAAGCTGTACTGCTACATATTTCTTTGGTTGCCATACTTTGAGACATATGGCTGGCAACAACTTGCTTTTCTTTCAGATGCCCATTGAAAAATGTTTTGTTCAAAGAAACTTTTGGTTAATTTAATTCATTTAATTTATAATTTTATATACTTAAAACTTACTGGTTGCATTTATCATGTGTGTATTTACATTTTATCATACGGTTTTATCTATTGTTTTATTGTTTGATCTATTTTATCTGCTTTAATTGTTTTATCTATTGTATGCTGTTTTCAGCATTTGTAAGCTGAAAACAGATAAAGCTGTAAGGAAATAAATAAATAAATCTAATTAGAGGACAATACTCACTGGAGTATAATGTTATGGAATAATAATAATGCGGCTATGGGAAATCAAATAATCCACAGTAATAATAAATAATAATCCACAATAATGCTATTGAAAGTCAAAGCTTAAGAAGAAGATTGACTATGAAATGTATTAATTTCATAAAGGAAGCCACAGCCTTGAGTGTACAAAAAGCTGAATGGGGCTGTCAAGGACAGGACATTTTGAAGGGCACTCATTCACAGTGTCACCATAAATTGGAGACAACTTAATGGCACATAACAACAAATGAACTTCTTGATATTGTCAAATACAGGCTATCCCTATCAAGACATGTACTATTCTCCAAACATTTTAGTGGAGCAAAGCCTCCACTAAATTGTGTGCTTCAGATATAGCAGTTTATGACACCTGCCTAGGTGGGGAATCTTTGAACAGATAGGACATGTTGCACAAATCCAAATGCAGATCCAATTTCACTGTATGCAATCCTGTTTTAAATGTATAACATGTATAACAAGAAGGCTGCATGCCAATCAAGTCCTTTTCATTCCCTTACTTACATGGGGTGGGGGTGGGGGTGGGGGGGAGGGAGGTGATTATGTGTGGCCCATCTATAGACACTGGTAGTAATTTTCTAAGTGATGAAGAAAATAAGCCTTCTCGAAAAGTCTGAATGAACCACAAAATCCACCTGATCCTTTGAAACACCTTATTCAGAACTTCTTTAAAACAGATAATCATTTGGCACTGCAGTTGTTTCAGAAAAAGGGCTTGTAAGTATTGTGTCAAGCCAAAAATTACAGTATATACTGCTTTTGTTTTTCTAAGATGGGCTATTTTGCTGACAAGATTCACTTGAATGTTGTTGCAAGAGATACATGACATCTTCTTCATCACTGTTTGCAAAGCCCACAGGGAATCTGCTGTCATAACATATTCTGCGATTACACAGGAAGCCATACTGGTTTGTGCGGCAGGTAGTTCTCTGTATGTTTGATCATCTTGAATATTTTTTCAGTGGTTCTCCCTTCCTCCCTGTTGCTTTTACACCTTGGCCTTGTACTCTGGCCTTGTAATGTGAAAGTATCACAACAGATTGTTGACTCAATTGAATTTTCAATTGAATTTTCTGATATATGGTCTTTGTGTTTGTGACTGTACAACTCTAATCCTATATTACTTAGTCCAAAGGTTTTGTAGCACACATTTACAATAACCTTCATTTTTGTCTTCAGCAGCTGGTGATAGCCATGATGCAAACTCAGCATGAAGTTTTTGCATGTTAAAAACTATCATCTCAAAATCAATCTTCAAAATGTTGTTCCAAATCCAGCCTCCAAGAGAAGGAGTTGCCTGTCACTGAGTTACTGTTAAGTTTGTGTCATTTGTTATGGGCAGAGACTTAGACCACTTATACTTCATGGACATCAAAGCCTTCCATCAGCTTCAGGCTAATACAACCAAGTGGCCTACAAGAAACATGATTAGGATACTGAAGTAATTGAAAAATATATTATTTTCTTGAACATCTTAGAAAATTGGGTTGATGGACTTTCTTTTGTAGATTATTATGTTTTCTCTTTTCAAAATGTAAAGTGAACTTTTAATATTTGCTCCAGGACAGAAATCCTGTAATTTTCTTTCACAGAAGTAGAGAGATGAGGTCTGTGCTAAAGTTAACAAAGTCATGAGTCTTAATGCCTCTTTTACAAAAACTTAAAACAAAACAATGTAATCCCCACCACCACCACACACTGACCAACATTTCCAAAGAGCTGTTTATAATGTCCAATTATAAACCAATCTCATTTTTACTGCTGAGAATACAGTTGTATTGCGGCAGGATTGGACTCTGCGTTGGCTAGAAGAAATAATGGCTGATCCCACCAAAACAGCCCTATTTTCAAATTAAATGAAGAATGCACAAATTGTCCAGTTGCAAGAAATTTATCAGCTTCTCCAAAATAAAATGTTATCATATGCCAGCTCATTTTATTCTGTTTTCCTGTTAACAACCAACAGCCAATAAACTTTTTCAAGATCACATAATTGTATTACAAAATATGTGAGCATCATTACATTATACTTGCCATACTACTGCTTCTCTACTCCAACAGATCATCCTATTGCAGTGTTATCTCAAAAAGTCTTTTACACAAATATATCCTAAGCACACAACTGATTTTCCCTGACTAATTTATATTTCCCCAACTTTTCAGAAATTGGCAGTCCTGTATGGTGTAGTGGCCCTACTTCTTTTGCCTTCAGCTTCACCTATCAATGGAATGGAAACCCTGAGAGCTTCTCCAAAATGGAATTTGGCCCTTGAGCATCCAGCATCCATGTGTTTCATGTTGAATATGCTGGTCAGAGAGAACATAAATTGCTACAGTCAATTTTTAATGTCTTCTCTGCTTAAAAAGACAAGATATGGCAATACTATCAGATATTTAAAATAGTAACAATATTATGATAAAATGAAGAATTATTAAAATGTGGTACATACTTATCTCCCACAATCCCCAAGTTGATTGTTGGGTACCCATGCTCTTGAATTGTTGCTAGAAGAGTTGAACGATTACTGTCTCTAATCTTTCCTGGTAACAGGTCATCTTCAGGATTTAATAGCTATAGGGGAAAAAAACATTTCTGAAGCTGGTTTGTTAAACTAAACAGATTTTATTGTAAACAAGGTCCCTCATTTCAGATAAAACAGGCCTAGATTCAGGGAAAGTGAATGTTGAAATCCCAGCCATATACAGAAATAAGACAAGAGGGGGACACTGTGAGAGCCCAAGACATGTTCAGGATTGTTCCAGCTTCTGCACACAGCACTAAATCATGGTTTAGTATGATATACAAGTTGGGACAAAAACTATTTAGGAATGTGAATTGGATGATGCACACTTACAAAAACATTAAGACTCCTGGGCATGAGAGCAATCTTTTGAGACTGTGAGCAAATTCTTGTTTATAACATCTGTGAACATCACCATTGCTGCCCTCTCAATAATTCTCTTTTCTTAAAGATTTACAAAAATCCAAGCCTGAGAATTCCCCAGAAAATAAAACAGGTAGAACAGTACAATTAAGATGCTGTTTGGGCTGGGTCTCAGCTTTTGGAAAGAAAATAAATTGGCAACTTCTTAAAAGTGAAAAGATGCTATTGAGGAAACCTGCGGGAAAACTGGGGAGAGGACTGTGGGAAGAAAAGAAAAACCTAAATGTTTTTGTTGTAAATATTTTGCATGTTTTGCACAAACACAACTTTCTAAGGTGTCTTTTCCAAATTATGCAATGCCTTACCCTTTCCCAGTGATTTTTCTACTCTTTCTCACTCATAATTTCAGTATCTATCAATCTTTTCCTTTCTAATCTGAACATCTGCTATGGTTCGTAGCAGCAACTTTGTGTCCAGAACAGGCACTAAAGGTGGAATGGATACTTCCTATACCTATGTGCCTTCCAAATCTGCTCTAGAGAGCTGGGGCCACTAGAAGGCAGATGTGAGGAGGATGCAGTAGGAAAAGAGCATAGGAAGTCCTGCTGAATAAGTGAAGGTCAGCTTGTATGACACTGCATTAACTTACACCACAATGTTCTATGAAGAAAATCTGTGTACTGTGTTCCAAATCTTTCAGGTCTTGCACTTGGGGTATAGGAATGGGTGTCGTAAGTACAGGTTAGGGGACAAGTGGCTGGAGAGCAGCACTTGTGAAAGGGATCTCAGGGTACTGGTTGACTGCAGACTAAACATGATTCAGCAGTGTTATGCGGTGGTCAAGAGGACAACCCTTGGTTGCATAGCCAGAAGCGTGGTTTCTAGATCGAGAGAGGTATCACTACCACTCTATACGATTCTGGTTCAGTTTTGGGCCCCTTGTTACAGGAAGGATATAGCCAGGTTAGAGTCAGTGCAGCGTAGGGCCACAAGGTTGGTGGCCGGTTTGCAGGGGATGCCGTATGAGGCGAGACTGAGGGAACTGGGTCTCTTCAGCCTGGAGAAGAGGAGACTCAAAGGGAATATGTTGGCGACATACAGGTATGTGAGGGGATGTCACATGGAGATGGGTAGAGACCTGTTCTCCCCTGCAGAGGAAGGCAGGACATGCTCCAATGGAGCAAAGCTCAGGGAACCAAGGTTCAACTTGGATGCCAGGAAGTACTTCCTGACAGTTAGGATCCCAAGGGTATGGAATGGGCTTCCAAGGGAGGTGGTTGAGGCAATATTGGTGAGGGTGCCCAAGGATAGGCTAGACATGCACATGGTAGGCATGTTGTGAGCAGAGCCAGCTGGACCAGGGGGTCAGACTAGATGGCCTGGGAGACACCTTCTGACTCTCTCTATTTCTGTTTCTATGTCACTTTCTCAGCCATTGATTGTTCTAACAGTTTACCTTATGATCAAGTGACTTTGCTTGTTTTAGTTTTAAACTTTTCAGTGACAATAATTACTTTTTAGTTGTGCAGTAAGGTACATGCATATAATACAAATACAGCACTTTTACAGTATCTTGTGAAAGTAGACATAAAAATACTGCTTTACCAAAACAGCCTTTAAAGAGTTGGTACAAATTGTAGCCAAGATACAACTATCATGGTTGCTGAAGATGACTTACTTCATTCCCTGTAGACATTACTGCAACCACTGGAAACTTGTTAACTTCAACTTCTGTTACTCCAACAGTTGCTAGAAGACCTATCTCTGATGGACCCATATGGGTTCCTTTGGCGAGCACACATTCACCTCTTTTAATATCATGGCCTATAGGTCTGAAAATACACCACAAACAAAAACAAAAACAACTGGACTCAAGTTAGCTGACAGATTACCAACAAGAAACCAATATCTATGTAAGCTCCTCCAATGGGAGGGGCAATTAATCCTTTTCTGATAAGCAAATATAAGTGCTATATTGGTAAGCTGGCACCATGCCAGTGCACTCAATTTATTATACTAAACATAATCAGGAAACAAAAATTGTTCCTTAGGACAAAGATGGCTACCAATGTCTGATTGGAAGAGTCTGTTCACTTGGTAGGGGTTTATTTTCATTTTATTAGTTTCATTTCACTTCAAGTTTTCTTCTGGAAGAGGCTTCCTAGGATTCCAACCTGTACTTTATTCTGAACCAACTGTGGGAATTGTGGGCCTCAGGAAAGTAAGGGCAGACAAAGGTTTTACACCTATAACTTCTCCTAGCCAGTCTCTATGAACTTGCCAGCAGTTCTTCCATTTTTGTTCCCTCCAAGGGTTCTGATCAGTGTTGTGACTGGCTAACCCTTTTTCCATAATATCCTGAGTCTCTCCTTGTCCAGTGAAGCTTATAATTACTTTGTCTTATAATTACCCTTTCCCACTCTTACCCATTCCACTTGTTTCTACTGAACCTTCATACTGGTGCTACTTCTTTAATCTCATGCTTCTGTTACGTTGCTTTCATCTGTTTCACTATATCCTTCACCTGCTTCTTCTCTGACTGTTCCCTCCAACTGTCTGTCCCATTCACCTATGTTCTTCTTCACTTACTTTTTCCATTAGCTTGTTAAATTGTTCTGCTCTGCCTTGAACACCCACCTAGCCTTGATTTGTGTCCCTTCCTCCCTGCATCACAACTTCCAGGTTGATTGGTCAGTTTCCGCAGAACGCTATCCTTGAAGCAAACAACTGTCAGAAACCACCATTGGTTCAGGAGTTTCATCAACCTGATTTGAGGAACCACGCAAATCCCATTTACATCTGACACCTGGATCAAATTTCAAAAGCTATTTATATTAGATTAGGATGGGCAAACTGTAGACCTCCTAATATTTTGACTGACAGCTCCCATCACCCCTAGCCAACATAGGCAATGGTGAAGAATTAGAGTAGTAGTAGGCCAGAATGTCCAGAGGGGTAGAAGTTGTCTATCCCTGTACTAGACGGGTATGTGAGAGAAATGTGTTTGGGGGAAGAAATCCATTGGATTCCCTGGGTTGTCTCCCTGGACTCTGGTCTGTTTTGCAGCAGTCCCAAGTCCAAGTTCCTGGCAAATGCACCCAGTATTCATGGGGCACTCAGCAGGAATTGAGGCCCACACGCTGTGCAAGTAGCACCCCTTTTCTGTGCCTGGGGCCACCACTGTTGCCTGCACTGAGCAGAGAAGAAGCTTAGTTGCCTGCCACAGCACCCCTTTTCTGTGCCTGGCACTGTCACTGCTAGTCATACTGGATGGGAAAGAAGGTAGGTCAGTAGGAGCAGTGCCTGGCATGGCCACTTGCAGTGCCCTTCTTCTGTGACCGTCTGCTGCTCTTTGGGCCAGTGCAGGTGATGAGAAAGGTTGCTGGTGGGTAAGCAGGAGTCAACAAGCTTTTGTGGACTTGTTCTTGGCTCAGCTTGCTTTGCAGGACTAGGCTGAGCATGAAAGCAAGTCCATGAATGTCAAGGGGATGAATTCTGAAAGTACTAGTCCCAACTGTACTATTAAGCTGACTGCTCTTCTTTAAAATTAAAATGCAGAGATGATGACAACCATTTCACTCACCTAATATCTTGGCCTGGTCGAACCTGAACCAGAATGCGTACCTCAAGTTCTTCAGTGCCCTGAATTTAAGGAAACAACATAGCTTCATATTTGGTAACACAAGTAATTTTAGATATTTCCTTAAGCACTATGAATGAGATCTTTCGTAGCAGAGGAGCAGGAGAAAGGAAAACAAACAAGCAAAAGCACAAAAACAAACGAACAAACAAAAATCAAAGATCTCCCTGGGCTGACTGCCATCAGTCCAGAGCAAGACCTCCCTCATCCATGACTTAATAGCTGATCTACCACACCTCACTGAGACCTGGGTGTACATACAGATAGCTGCTTGTCTGTACAAGTTATGCCCAGAGTGGTACTTGGTTCAGCATCAAAGAAGGTCAAAGGTCTGGAGACTGGGTGTTGCTATGGTCAACAGTAATTCTTTCTTTCTGTTTGGGCCTATCTGACTACTAGTTTAGAGTGCTTGCATCTGGAGTTAGGCCAGCAGTTCCACCCACCCCACTGCTCAACAGACTTCCTACCTGGGCTGACAGAGGTGGCCTTGGTTGTGATGCTGGAGTTTCTCAGACTGCTTGTTTTGAGAATTGCTTTCAATCCAAGCCAAGACTATCTTATCTAGGTGGTTTTAGGATTTCATGAACTGCATGACAACCATGGGACTATACCAACATGCAATCATCCTGACACATCCACATACTCTGGATTTTTTTCAACTGGGCATGAGAGGAATGATGTGAAGGTGTGGAACTTTGAATCAGTCTCTTTGTCATGGTCTAGTTTTAGCTGTTCAGTTATTAAAATGTGGTTTTAAATATGGTTTTGATTTTTAAATGCATTATTATTATTAACAACAACAACAACACTTCTATACTTCCCACAGCCTAAAGCTCTCTGGGTGGTTCACAATATTAAGTCCCCCATCCAGATTTCAACCAGGCCTGACCCTGCTTAGCTTCCAAGCTTGGGTAGGATCTATATGGCTATATGGAAGCTGTTTTATGATGCTTTATTTTTTAATCTATATTATTTTATTCTATTTATTCTTGTTGCTCACTGTCCAGAGAACTTCAGCTATTGAATAGCACAGGAACTGAATACATGAATATAGATGCTGTCCAGATGGCCATAGTAAAAATCAAAGCCCCAGCTCCAACCTTGGAGAAATGTTCTGAGGTCAGAGCTGGGGTTCCACTTTTGGAATGCCATCCTTCCAATATTACAAATGGCACAATATTTTCTGCACACTTTTGTCACACTTTCCGCACACCTCTGTTTGCAGCCAGTATGAGGGGTGGTGCATTCCAGGGATGAGGATTGAGATCCCAGAGATCTTTCAGCTCTTCCTTCCTACAAGCAGGAGTTAAATGCTTGGACATTTGAAATCAGCTAAGTGCTTTTGAGGGTGGGAGGAAGCCAATGTCTTCACACTCTTCCTGCTTTCCATTAGGTGCCTGTAATTCTGACTTTGGCGGGTGGGAAGTCCCACTAAATGGTGCTGCCAGTGCTTTAAAAGTCTGTAAGATGATACTTTAAACTTTGAATCTAATATGTTGGAGAAAAGTGACACTCCACCCACTATGGAGTGTCTTTTGTAATTGCTTTAAAAATTAGCATGGTAAACATAAACATTGAGAAAAGGAGGGTGTTGTTGGAACAGTAAGGTTCACATTTATAACTGCTTACATTTTGGCTCAGTAATCATGATACATGAAATTGAAAGTTCAGGGAAAAGATCTCTCTCTCTCTCTCTCTCTCTCTCTCTCTCTCTCAGTCATTAACTGGTAGCAGAACTGTCAACCAAGTGATTAAAAAAATACAACCATACTCTTATTCTAAACTGATTAATGGGGATGGGGATAAAACCTGTTGCAATCTATCTGCATTCCAGTAGTAGGTCTGACCAAAGCTCAAAGTGGGAAGAACCAGACCTCAAAGTGGGTGGAATTATAGATGCCACTCTTTGCTCAGTATGCAATGAAAAAAAGGTATTCTTTTTAACTCAGTTTCTTCATGGTTCATTCCATCAGTTTTGTAACTGGGGTACCACAGGCAAGCAGCAGTAAATAATGGCAAGGATCTGGATCAGAGTTAAAGAGTGGATGTGGCCTAGGGAGAATGTGGTCTAGGCAGAGTTTGGAGGTTAAGACCAGGTTTTCCAACTCCATTATTGATTAATAAATTAGTTTTTTAAATGTTGCAAATTTTTAACAAATGTATCTTTAATGGATCCCAAAGGAACAAGACTGTTTCTCTTAACTGTGCGATAATCATTTAACCCTTGAATTGGTACTCTCCAAAGAGACCTATTAAATAGATGATAAATGAATTTGAAGGGTACAGCAGGTACAGCTGAACTCCAGCTGCCTTCTGAAGAGCCAGTGTCATGTAGTGGCTAAGAGCACGGGACTAGGACTCAGGCAACTTGGTTTCTAATCCCCACTCAGTCATGGGGCTAACTGAATGACTTTGGGCCAGTCATAGACACTCAGCCCAACCTACCTCACAGGATTGTTGTTGTGGGGATAAGATTTTAAGCAGGAGGAAGAAAATGATTTAAGCCATTTTGGGTTCATCAAAGAAGAAAAAAGGTGGGATATAAATCTAACAAATAAATAAAAATCCCAGATTTCTTTCAACATATCTGTCCTCAGTCCTACTCATCCCCCTCTTCCAACCAATCAAGGAAGAACCAAAAATAAATTACATAAATTCAATGTAGGCAGAATAGTAAAATTGTACAAACTGTTCATTGTTTCACATTTGTATTCAAGTATATACACTCACATTTCTAGGATTTACACTACTGAATGACTATTGAGAACTGTGCTACTGTCACAAAAGAGGATTTTTTTTTTTCAGTTATCACTCACATCATCTGATTCCCTGATGAGTTCTGTGTCTTCGACTTGCACCACGGCATCAGCACCACAAGGTATTGGGGCACCAGTTGTAACTCGCATTACCTGACCAGGCATTACAGTCTGGGTTGGCTGAAACGCATCAGGAAAGCTGATTAAAGCAGCAACATTAGTAGTGACAAACTCTGAGAGCACCAAGGACACTATAGAAATAAAACTGATTTTTAAAAATACACTACACATTTTTTTAACCAAATGTTCTTGGGAGGTTTGAGGTTCCTATCCTTGGGGTTTCCAAGGAGGTTTTCATCACATTTGGTTGTAGAATGCTAAGATTTTAGTACACGTACTGTCAACTGAATAATCACAAATCATATTTTTTCCAAAAGTGACTTCAATACATACAACTTACTATACAAGAACATTCCCTTCATGGCTAATAAAAAAGGAAAAAGGAAAAGATGTTGTACTCACTTGCTCACCAGTCTGGGATTCCCCAATGATAAAACGATCCCCAGGTCCATCAGCAGCTGTGAGAACATACAAAAGCAAAAATATTGTAACTTGTACACAAGACAGGCATTAATGGGAATTTTACTATTCATCTTGACTCCATATACTTCTTGTAAACACATATGAAATTGCTAGTTACACAATGCAATATAGTATACCAAAATATTATTCAAATATATCATTTATCTTGCTGTATGTAAATGGCTTGAGCATTTTACTCCAAATCCACTTCTAAAATTTCTTAGCACAGACATTTCTTGTGGATTTTGTTTACTGAGGCTTATCTATTACTAATTTTACAGACTGAACAAAGCACAGAATATTGCATACATGTTTTATTTATTTATTTATTTATTTATTTATTTATTTTATTTATTAAAACATTTCTATGCCGCCCCTTGCCAAGGCCTCGGGGCGGCTTACAACATTGAATACAAAATACATTAAAACAATGACAATTAAAATATATACAGTAAAATAAACATGTTGATCTAATAATGCAAAAAATCATTTTAGAATTGACCCATAATTTATGCCACGGCTTTCAAAGTATGTCTGGTGGAAAAAGCAGTGAAAATCTGTAATAGCTGATACAGCCTGGGATGTGGTGAGGAGAACTGCAGTGCGAAAGCAGAATCAGCCATTCCTTACAGCACCTGCAATCTCCTCCAATACAGCTCCACTGCCATATCCTAGACCAGACCTGGGCATTGTATGGCCCGCGGGCCACATCCGGCCTGATGGCTGACCCTGACTGGCCCGTATGAGGTCACTGGCAAAGTAAAAGTCAATGCAAATATATATCGTTGTAATATAGATGCAAGCAATACAACTGCACTGCTTTTATCTTGAAGGATCTGCTAAATTGAATTGAATTTATTGCTTTTCATGTAATGTTAATGTTTTTGTGAATATTCATTAAATAGTGTTGTTCTGTGCTCCACATTTTCATTGTATCATTGTAATGTTTCATTTACTGTTTTTATAGAGATATATATTGAGCAGAGTTGTAAGTGTATTGGTCCGGCCCTTAACAACTGTCAAAGTTTCTCATGTGGCCCCATAGGAAAATTAATTGCCCACCCCTGTCCTAGACCTTCATGGGAGGCTGGGGAAGGCACAACACATTTCAAAGGGGGCAAGGGGGGTTATATCTGGGTACTATTTATTTAAAGCAGCCTAGCTAGGAAAAATAGATTGGCACTCCCTGCCTGCACAGACTTGCACTGGATAATAGCACTACATCTAGCACTTCCAATGACTTGACAAGTATTCCATACCCAGCAGTGATAAACAGTGTCACAATCCTGCTATGTGCACTTATTTGTTACAGTTACATCTGGCCTTTCCAAGGAGGAGTACAAGACTGTCTTCCTCTCCATTTTATCCTTACAATAACACTGTGAGGTAGGTTAAGCTGAGACCTAGTGAACTTCATGGCTGAGTGGGGACTAGAATCTGGGTCTCTTAAAGCCCCAGTCCAACATGAATATTAAATAGCGGCAAGCCGGTGGAACTGTACACAGCAATAAATTACATTTTTATTTCTCTTGGAAAGCTGAAATGGAATCATTAACTGGGAGATGATGGATTTTAGTATGATATATTTGTCTTGCATTAGATTAATTGTAATAGGGATTTTTTTTTTAAAAAAACTGTATGATAGTCTAGTTTTATACTCTAAGCATTCTTAAGAATTTCATGAGCCATGATCAGTTTCATGACTGAAACATGAAACTTACATAATATTACATCTGTGCTTTCCTGGAGTAAGAGGGGAATACATAATGGAAATTTTCTGGAGTTCTTAGTCTTTCCTTGTGCCCAAAACAAGATCTAGTGTATGATTCACAGAACTGTACAGATGTATGTGTATTTACTTGGATTAAGTCAAACAAAACAACACAAAACATGTATAACCCTCAAGTTGGTTACTACCAACACAAATTTTCTGTTTGTCTCTTCTACTGCAGTCTGCTTCAGCATATCTGGCTGGTAAATGGTTTCAACTCTGGTTCTAAATCTACATGTTTCTGAGATACTTGAAATCATATGGCACAACAAGAAAAAGTGGATTTGTGGTTCTCTTTTTGTTACTAAACTTTGAAAGAATTCCAGAGTAGAGTCTGTACCCTGGTCACACTCAAAAACAATTAAGAGAAAACTTTTTTGGTGTACACTGATACAACTTATTTCTCTTCTGTTGGTGCTTTCTGCACTAAAATAGTTTCGAATCTGAAGAACATTTGCCTAAACTAACAGCTCTAGCAGCCACATCTTTCATAACATTTATACTTTGACATCCTTATGGTTAGCAGCAAGACAGCAAACATAACAATAGAAGGACAACAGAAGGATTGTAATACGTCGTACTAAGAAATTAAAACTAAAACAAATTTATTTGCAGCATCCTATACACATCAATATAACTGAAAGTTATATATATTTCAGTCATGCAAAAATATGCATTATTTACAGAATAGGAGAAGCAGGATGTTTGCCTCCCCTTTAGTTCCAAAATCATAAATCCCTCAACAGACAAATAAGAGCAATAGAGCTTGCAAATCTCAAATAAGTATAGTTTTAGTGAATTATCCTGTGGTCCCTGGTCATTGTCTGAGGAACCATAGGATAGTCCGGATTTTGAGCTCCATGGTTGGAGACAGCATTCTGGCCTTGCCACAGAGAATTGCACTGGCTGCTGTTCAAGGTCAAGAAAACAACCTTGGAGAGAAGGTGTAGAGGACATTCTGGTGGGACAGGAAAGGGAAGAGACTGGAGTGGCCAAGCCACAAGGTATCCTGATATTGTTCAGCCTCCTCCCCTCCCTCTTCAAAAAATTGTCTAGCAAAAATGCAGAGCAGGAAGGCAACAATCACCTCCACTGCTCCTCTTGTTCTACACTGGATGAGTGAATTTGGGAACTTGTGGGAACCCCTGAAAGATTGCATCTTTACAGAGTTATTAATAACAAATATTAACAAGCTTGAAACAATGTTATTACAACAGTGACTAATTTGCTGCTGGCTTTGGGCACAACTGGACCTGCTGTTCCATATAGTATACATAAACAACTTTTAAAATGTCACCTCATGGTCAAAACTGTTGGCATTTACCTCTGACAGCATAGCCATCTTTTACTGAAGCTGGGAATGGTGGTAGGTTGTCTTTTGCATAAACATCTTGGGCAAGGACTCTGCCCATGCCATCTAATACAGGAGAGAGAGAAAGAATATGAAAAGTTGATAGTCAGGTCAGACTACAGAAGGTTTTGAAAGATAACTTCACACTTGCATAATATTTCTCATAAAAGAAGCTCAAAATCAGGAAGTGATTGGAAGAACTCAGCCTAAAACTAAGACAGAATATGTGATTCACACAGATATCAACTTTTATTATAATTAATGTGGAGACACTGAATTAAATGTACAATATTAGGAGTAAGGTCAATTAACTGAAGTGCAATACACTGATCTCTCTTTCTTAATTACACTCTCCTGTTAAGAAGCTCATGGTAGTATATAAGAATCCACTCTATATTTTATCCATCCAATGTAATGAAAGCCATTTATTCTCACAACAATAAAAGGCATTTTTTCAAAATTTTGAAGTTAAAAAAACCCCACTTAAAATCCTGTCCTTTTCTTGTTCTACATTCCTCAATTTCTTTTTCCTTTCTGACCCACATTCGGAAAACTACCCACTCGTAAAATTGTTCCACTAACTCTTTAAAATAGCCATCATGACTTCCACTGAAAACATCTTATCAGATTTCATGTCCACCTAATTTGAATACTCTCAGGATAATGCTATGGACAATCACAGTATAAATACTAGAAAATAAGAAAATACCAAATAGTTTTAAAAATCATATTATTGTTGGAGATATTACATTAAATACCCCAGAAAAATTCTTATTTGTAATGCTTTCAAAAACTGAGGAAGCGTGCACTCGGGAAAGCTTCCCTGAGCAGCAGGTTTTATTGTGCTGAAGCCATCATGAAAAACATTTGCTACATATCTTCACAAATCTTGCATAATGTAACAAAGGGATCTCAATAGTTTCTTCTCTCTGCATGTCAGAAGGGGCACTTCTAATAAGCTGGATATAACTTTTCTGCTAGAGTCATTCTGCTTAGTCATGGCACTTGCTCTTTCCATTTATAACACTGAACAATTTGGAGGAAGGAGAGTGCCAAAGAGGAGGGCAGTAACAATCTGTGACCCATTTTATCTTCTGGGCCAAAGATTCTTTTTGGTTTGCTCCTGTTTTTGTTTTCTGGCATATTTAAATGAGAAAAGTGAGTATTTCCGTACATATTTTTCAAAAGCATGCAGTTCTCCCCATTGACTAAAACATAAAATGTGCATTTAAAAAACTGCTCTAGTGCCCTTGTCCTGAGAAGTTAGGCAGGTACAATGCAGGCAGGGCCTTTTTGGTAGTGGTGCTGATCTCTGAGATGGTCTTCCTTAGAATACCAGTTTATTTGCTTTCATGAATGAGGCAGTAAGTCTTATTTTAATACTGGTCATGCTCTTTTATTATTGGCACTAACGTCCCTGATAACCACGATGGGGTGGTCACTGAACTCGAGCCAGACATTCTGGAATGTGAAGTCAAATGGGCCTTAGGAAGTCTGAGCAACAACAAAGCTAGTGGAGGAGACAGTATTCCAGCTGAGCTATTCAAAATCTTAAAAGAAAATGCAGTAAAAGTGTTACACTCAATATGCCAGCAAATTTGGAAAACTCAACAGTGGCCACAGGATTGGAAAAGGTCAGTTTACATTCCGACCCCAAAGAAGGGCAATGCCAAAGGATGTTCAAACTACCACACCATTGCACTCATTTCACATGCTAGCAAAGTGATGCTCAAAATCCTACAAGCAGGCTTCAGCATTATGTGGACCGAGAACTACCAGAAGTACAGGCAGGATTTCGAAGAGGGAGAGGAACTAGAGATCAAATTGTCAACATACGCTGGATCATGGAGAAAGCTAGAAGTTCCAGAAAAACATCTACTTCTGCTTCATTGACTATGCTAAAGCCTTTGATTGTGTGGATCACAATAAAGTGGGAAGTTCTTAAAGAGATGGGAGTACCAGACCATCTTATTTGTCTCTTGAGAAACCTATATGCGGGTCAAGAAGCAACAGTGAGAACTGGATACGGAACCACTGATTGGTTCAAAATTGAGAAAGGAGTTCAGCAAGGTTGTATACTGTCGCCCTGCCTATTTAACTTATATGCAGAGCACATCATGAGAAAGGTGGGGCTAGATGAATCACCAGTTGGAATTAAGACTGCTGGGAGAAATATCAACAACCTCAGATATGCAGATGATACCACTCTAATGAAAGAAAGTGAAGAGGAATTAAAGAGCCTCTTGATGTGGGTGAAGGAGGAGAGCGCAAAAGTTGGCTTGAAACTCAACATTAGGAAAACAATGCTCGTAAGATCATGGCATCTGGTCCTATCACTTCCTGGCAAATAGATGGGGAAGAAATGGAGGTAGTGACAGATTTTATTTTCCTGGGCTCCATGATCTTTGCAGATGGGGACTGCAGCCAAGAAATTAAAAGACACTTGCTCCTTTGGAGGAAAGCTATGGCAAATCTAGACAGCATACTAAAAAGCAGAGACATCACCCTGCTGACAAAAGTGCATACATTCAAGGCCATGGTTTTAGCAGCTGCAATGTATGGCTGTGAAAGTTGGACCATAAGGAAGGCTGAGTGCCGAAGAATGGAGGCCTTTGAATTGTGGTGCTGGAGAAGACTCATATAAGTCCCTTGGACTGCAAGACGATCAAACCAGTCAGTCCTAGAGGAGATCAACCCTGACTGCTGTTTAGAAGGCCAAATACTGAAGATGAAACTCAAATACTTTGGCCACCTAATGAGCAGGAAGGACTCACTGGAGAAGAGCCTAATGCTGGGAACAATTGACGGCAAAAGAAGAAGGAGACGGCAGAGGATGAGGTGGCTAGATGGAGTCACTGAAGCAGTCGGCGTGAACTGAAGTAGACTCTGGGGGATGGTGGAGGACAGGAAGGCCTGGAGGAATGTTGTCCATGGGGTTGTGATGGGCTGGACATGACTTCATGACTAGCAACAACAAGAAGCAACAATTGTTGATTAATGGCTTTATCGTAGATAATTTTTTAACTACCTCCAAACAAGTCAATCTTGAATTTCATCTCCCAGGTCTCAGCTGTAGCCAGATGAAGAGGGCTATTTTTGCATTTTTTAAAAACATGATACTCCTCTTTTCTAACTTTTACCACCCACTGAAGCCAATGTTATGGAGTCAATCCATCTCATTGAAACCATGAGAGAGACTTTAATTATGCGAGCTTAAGGCCAGTGTAGTTTACAGACCTGTTTTAGCAATGTATCAGGGGAGCAAGGGGAATTTGGATCCAGGTGGATCTGAGGCTCCTCTCAACATGCCTCCACAGCATTCAGCTAGGATCCTACCGCCAGCAGGAGTTCCACCAGTTGTGCTCTCACACCATGTAGCTTTCTGCACACACAGTAAGGGCCTCCTGAAGAGACTTGCTGTCCCACCAGAAGAGCACTTTTGGCCCATTCTTAACCCCTGCTGAAGGTGATTGAAGGGGGTTAAGATTACTATTTTATTGTTGTACATTTTGAATCGCCTATTTTAATTCTTTTTCTTAGTTGTTCTGGAAGCAGTTTTAATGACATATACCTCCTTTCACCAAATATGAAGAAATGTTTGTATTGACTTATCTATAATGATCCATTATGGAAACTTTTCTAAAGCAAAAGTGAAGGCAGACTTGTGTTTTTGTGTGTATAACATCTGGATGTTTTTCTGGTTGAGACTACTGGTTAATCTTTTATTTATTATGAACTCATATGGATGGTTAACATGCATACATTTACAGCAACTGGATCAATATACATACCTAGGCATTTATAGATTTCAGCATGAATTATTTTTTTACTTTCTCATTTACAAATGTTGCTCTGCACTGAGTTGGGAAATATCTCTCAGAAAATGTTTCTCAGAAAATTCAAACATGCATAATAAAAGTTATTCTAGAAATGATGTATAAGAACAACAGATAGGACAATAGATCAAGCTTTTCACACTATAGAAAGTAGTCTTATGACAATACTTATTATTATTATTATTATTATTATTATGTATTACTTATTATTATTTCTAGCTACCAGTCTTATGACAAGACTGGTAGCTAGAAAATGCCAGAAAGAGAACTCATGATCAAGGCTGTGTCTATTGTGTCTGTTGGGAAAACACCACCACCACCACTACCACTCTTTCTCTTTTGCTGTAGAAAAGAAAAAAAAAATGTTCTAAGAAAACCTAAATTCTGGGCAATATTTTATTCAACACCACAACTAATGTAAATTATATTGCATTAGCACAAGCAAGAAAATTGATGTGTTCAAAACATGGTGCTGGGGGAGAGCTTTGTGAATACTCTGGATTGACAGAAAGACCTCGATCAAATTAAGCCAGAGCTTTCCCTAGAAGCAAAAACTGAGGCTCTCGTACTTTGGACACATCATGAGAAGGCAAGACTCCTTGGAGAAGCCAATCATGTTGGGGAAAGTTGAAGACAGAAGAAGAAAAGGAAGACCAAACATGAACTGGATTGACTCTATAAAAGAAGACACAGCTTTGAATTTAGAATGCCTAAGTAGGGATGTCATGGATAGGACATTCTGAAGGGCTTTCATTCTCAGGGCTGCTACAAGTCAGAGATGACTTGAAGGCACATAACAGCAGCAGCACAAGCAACGTCTGGTGCAATGGCAAGGCTTCCCTCACCAGTGGAGAGCCACATTGCACACCAAAGTTGCAGCTGGGCACATGGGTCTCTCCTGCAAACTCCTGAATAAAAGCCTGGCTAAATCTACCTATAAACTTGTTGGAGACAATGTGTAAAAATAACATTGAAATATTATTCAATATTATTCAATTCAATATTATTCAAAGTAATTTCCCTTTTTAGAATTAATTTGCTGTAAACCCTCCCAAGACATCTAAGTATGGGATGGTATAGAAAAGTTTTAAATAGATAAACAAACAAACAAACAAACAAACAAACAAACTCTCTCCCTCTAGCATCTTGAGACTCTGTTTCTGGTCTCTGCTTGCTACCTTGATTGTGCTCTTTGTACAACTCTGGAATAAACTGCAAGTACAAATCTCTCTCGTCCGTTGGCTTACTTTGGAACAAATGTGTACCATCCTGTGCAATCTCCTTGGAATGCTGTACAAACAGCATCAACGGTTTTACAGCAAACCTTATCTTCACAATTATTGTAATTCCCAGTTTATTATCTAACTGAAGCCTGTTGAAAATTTGGACAGATAGTCTCTTCTGTGCATTATGAAAATGAAGCACATCTACATAATTTCACTTATTTTTCATAATATAAACTCTACTATTTATTGTTTCACAGAACTTCTAAGACACATCTTTCACATACTCTTGAGCTTCATAATTAGAAGGGTTGAGCCCAAAACCTCCACATAGGTGCTTCATATAGATGTGGGATTGGATTCTGACTCAGATAAGGACTGGGAGAAGCTGGCTGAAACTTCAAGGCCATAGTGGCTAGAGTTAAGCGGGAATGTTTTTGATAGCCTTGCAAGCCATTCTGAAACTGGGAAAATGTGAAAACAAAAGGAGGAAGAAAGGGAGGATGGGCTAGAGGTTAGGGTTGTAGGGAGGCAGGAGCAAAGTGGGTTGCTTTGCTAGTCCAACTGATTTGCTGCCCAAGAGACTTCCTCAGTAAAGGAACTGTCCTGTTAGCAGGGGTTGGATAGAGCAGTAAAGTTGAATTGCAAGGCTATAACCATTTCCCATTAATTTGGTATCTACTTTCTATCCATGGGCCTCTTTAGTTATAGAAGCTAGTTCCTTCCAGTGCTAACATGGCTTGACTCTTATACAGCTATCGTGTAAATGAACTACTGCCCAGGCTGATGCAAGACTGACTCACTTTTATCTTTTTTGTGTAGTAAAAGTTAATTATTTAAAACTCAGGGACTTGGTTTCAGTAAGAAGCAAGGCAGCTGCCTCTGACAATAATAATGTCCAGTAACTGCACAATAGTATCACTATAATTTAACCTTTATAGATTGGCAGACATTACATGAAATACAAGTCACTTGGAAGTGATACAGAGTAAAGCATCTCATAAGATCAACGTAAAAAGTACTATTTCACTCCAGCCTGATCTTGGCCCTGAACCCACCAGTACTGGTGGTACATTATCACTTTCTCCCAACCATTATGTAGCATAGTTGCAGCACATAAGAAGTATGCAAGATTCTGAAAAGGATAGAAGGAGAAGAGTCTTTTTTCAGTCTGCTACAGAGCAATATCTATATTCTTCATCCATAAAAACCTGTTGAAGTCAACATAAAGGCATTCGGCCCTAAATACTAAATTACTGGACTGCTTAATGCCAATTAAGTATAATACTGCTAAACTCTGACTGTTCGAGAAGAGGAAGCAACAATACTACTAACTAGCAGGACTCCAAGCCTGAAGAAGGCAATTTATCACTTCATATTCCTTTGCTGGATATAAATATTTTCAGTATAACTTAAAGTTCTCTCCTTGCTTGGTTTTCAGTTCAAACACTGGTGATACCACAATCTTCCTGAACTTTGTTCCTGTATCTACGTCTTGCTGCTTTTCATTCCACTGCACCCATTCAAGTTTACATACTCTTTGCACCTGAGTCTTGATCTTCATCCTTTCACACTCCTGTCTCTGATTTAACTGTATGGCTATAGACTTAGCTTGTTCAAAGTAGACCCCATACTGATGTGGCTTCATACCTGAACTTTCCCTTGCTTCTCACTTTCAGAACAGACATTTTTGTTGTCCCAGATTGTAACTTATTCCTACTCAAAGGCCTTGCTCTGGTTCCCTAAAGTGCACTCCAAGTAGTGATGTATGGATGTTGTTAAATCTGTTCTATCTGTATTTCACTGATTGCCAGGTATCTTTTTTCCACCATCTACTCATTGACAGAATCATTTTTTAAAAAATCAGAGTTTTGTTGTGATTGTACTAATTTGTATTAGTGCTAATGTGTACTTGCAGAAACTGCAAACTGTTAATAAGAATTAGTGTTAACAAGAAATTGTGCTAATGCACTAATCCAGATTAGCACTAATGAGAATTAGTCCAAATTATGTCTCCCCTCTTCCAAAAAAGTGAAAAAAGTCCACAGAGTCTGCATGAGTAAGATAATGTCGTTCTACTGCAGAACTGGCAGATTGGAGTCACAGAAATCTGAACTCATTTGAATCCATTATCCCTCACTGCAAGCATCAGATATTGGCTATTTATGACTTGGCTCACGAAGATACTGACGAGCACAGTCTCAAAGCTCTCATGCATCTTTCAAATTTTTGCCTTTATGACATGAACCTAATAGTTACTCCTTCAAGTGTAGGAGGCTGAACATTGAAGGAATTCCACAGATGAAATATAAATTTACATTCCCAGCTGGAAAACACATTATTTCTGATTTAGCACTCCCATACGCAATAGTAGCATATCTACTCCAACAGGATTACAGAGATAGTGCTTGTGAGACACATTGAACTCTCTAAAGAGATTTGCATAATTTTAAAAATGATATGGAAATAAAATCTTTCCATTCTTCCTTTCTGGATGCTTGATGTAATCTAAAATACCTCGATAATTGATTATTTCTGTTCCAAGAACTGGGGTCATCTCTAGCACTGTGATGAAGGCTTTGTCCATAGATGTTAATGGAAATGGAGACATACGGTGTCTTCTTGCTACTTTTGTAATATCTACGGCACTATGACCTGCAGAAGAAAAATAGGAAAATTAGAAAATGTTCAGTTTTATCCCCAGAAAGATAATACACAGGTAAGTTTTCACCCAATAACAACTGCTTGCCAAATATACAGCAAATCTTGCCAAAAGTACAGCAAACACCAGTTTGGGTTTGTTGAGTAAAAATGTGCCACATTAAAGAAAAATGTAGACAAAACTGGAAATAAAGCATGCAATTAGCAGAACTGAAATGTTTAAGCTATGTTAAAACTGCTACCCTACTGAAAAATCAATTGACTTTATTGCTCACCAGGAACCATTTATGGATTTATAAGGCAAATGAGACCAAATATCTGTAAAGCATACATTCTAAATGGTATTGTATTATCCTAGAAAACTGAGAATGATATCTTAAAAGGCAGCCCTGAATCTCTGAATATTTTCAAAACTGTTCAAATACAATGAAATGCCACATTCTGAAGTACCAATATGCAGTTGCATTTCAAGAGCAACTTAATCCCAGCCATTAAATAAATAAATTGGTAGATAGATAAATAATTAAAAATAGACCCTGGCTGAAGCAAAAATAGTTGTTAATTTGAGGCTGTCATTTTGAATCAATAATTCATGATCCTCTACATGTGTCATGAACACTGTCATTATTTTATATTTCTGACTGTGCTGGGTATGAACTGCTTGTGTTTAACCTCAGCTCTTACATAAACATTATTTATTTTTCGAATCATGACAATTGTTATAATCTTAACTATGGTCAGAAGAAAAAGATGTTACTCATCTCTCTCCTATCCCCTCACCTCTGCAAGTAACTTGCTTCAGTGTCAGACTTACTTCTCAACTGACTGAACAAATCTGAGATTCACGTAAGCATATGGCTGCTAAAATTATCTATTCATTAAGTCTATCCTTATGTTACGATATTTGGCTGGATCCAGATATGCTCTCTATAAAAGGAAGGGTACCTTCTGGTCACAAAGGGATTTGTAATCCAGCAGAGGTTTCCTACTGGAGAAAAGGAGTGGGGAAGTGATATTTGCTGATTCTTTATTTTCCCTGCAACTTTCCATGCAACTTTCAATGCTCTTCCAGAGGGTACCCCAACCCTTTGGAACAGCCTTTCAGAAGACACAGAAAGCTGATGGAGGAATCAATTGAAGTTGCCATCTCACTGCTTGCTCCAGCAACAGCAGAGCTCCAAGGAGTGCTCCTCTGGATCCATCCTAGTATGCTTAACATAGTTTATATGACTAACACTGTTCACATATTCTACAATGATTGGTTCAGAAGATCAAGAACCGTTCCCTTTTCAAACCTTAGATCAGACAGAGGATTTACTTGGTAAAATGGGTTTGATCCAGACTTGGTTCTCTCTGAACAAAAGAGCTCCTTCTGTTTGTGGAGGGAGCAAACTTTTGGTGGATGTATCCCAGTGGAGGAAAGGAGAAGGGCAACATTTTTATTTGAATCCCTCTTCAGATTTCATGCTTTTCTAAAAGGTCTTGTAATTCTCCAGAACAGCATGGGAGGTGGGGTGGGGGGCTGCAGGGAAAAGAGCGAGTTGAAAAAAACTGCCATCATGTTCACTTTTTCTAATCCCAGTAGCATCCCCCTAAGCACAACCCTGGATAAAGCCCTGTGGCGATCAGACTGCAGCACCAGTGTTTGTGAAAAACTGCTTTTAAGAAACAGTTAAGTGCTCTATTAAAATATTTTGCCAAAGGCAATGCATTAGCTTTGGAAAAACTGTCCATCCCCTCTCTGAAAAGTGACTGAAAATTCTGAAATTCAAAGTCAAGAAGACATAGATGCTTAAAAATATGTAGTGTGTAATCACTATCAAGGGGAATGTTGGTAGTAAGTATGACAGATTTTCTTCTTCAGCCTTGTGGGCTTTTGGAACAGCATCTGCTAACAAATTTAAGTCAACTGCCTAAAATAATTCTTTGTGTTCTTGAAAGGAAAGGATATGTTGAAGAAAAAGCTGTCATTTCAAGAACGAGAACTCCTTTTTGTTTTTTTCCCAACAACCCTAATGAAAGATTCAGTTATGCAGGCAATGCACATAATACAGTACTCCAAAAAACAAGCAGACAAAATGATTCATACATGTTAATTTTTAAAATTTTTTTAAAAGATTTCACAGAATTAAAAATCTATAAAATCTTTGATAATTTAAAATTACACTACTACTACTATACATTCCTATTTATTTTATTGTTTATTTATTTGGATATTTTTATCCCATCCATTCTGGGCAGTTCGCACCATTTAAATCACCCATCCAAATGTCAAGCAGACCCAAACTTGCTTAGCTTCAAGATTAGGCAGGATCAGGCACTTCAGGATATATGGGAGTTTTAAAAAATTTAAATCAATAATGTTTATAAGTCTCTACAAGCTGAGGTAGCCTGTCAAAGACAAGGCATTTTGGAGGGTATGCATTCATAGGGTTGCCATAAGTTGGAGACAATTTCACAGCACATGACAACCAAGCATCTATAAACTAGATGCACTAATAGTGGTCATTTTGCTTGTTTGCTCCTTCCTTGGGAAAATCTTATAACATAAAATAATAAACAATTGACTCTTGGGATTGTGGTAGAAGGACAGTATCTCGTATCTGCTTTGTATTTATATTGTCTAGTTCAAAGAATCCGAAATGAATCTCAAAGACCAGTGCAAGTGAAAGGATACAGTTGGTAAATATTTAACCTCACTGGAATCACGGAATACTTAACGACACTGGAATCACAGAATAAACAGGAACTCAGGTAGATGTGACTCTGCTATGTTAGTTCTTCATTTCAATCAGGTATAATTCTAACACCAGAATAGACTATGCTTCCAAAGATGATATGATCCTAAAGCTATCAATGTATCATAATATAATATGTACACAATGATTCAGGTACACAGTCCCATCCACAGACTACCCCATCCCCCCATGACGTGTGTATATATAGCATATCACCTTTTTATTCTTTATTATTTAAACTATTACAACAATATAAATATAAAATGCATCATAAAGAATAAAAAGGAAAAAAACACAACACACAAAACCCTAGTGCACCTCTCCACCAGGACCATGGTTACACAGTATTTATTCCTTCATTTCTTTCGTCTTGCTTACTTCTTCTAAATTTCTGCTCTTTCAGGAATACCTCTTTCCACTGCATTGCATTCAATTGTATCGGATCATCTGCAGGTTTCATACCTTTCCCTTTTATTAATACATGCTCAGTAAATGAACTTCATATGTCATTAAAATCATTCTTATTTATCAACCCTTTTTTCACCTTAATCCCACATGTCAACTTATCATTAACATCTACATTCCAAATTTCTTTATACTCTTCAGTTAACTGGAGATCTCATTTCTCCTTCCAATTCTTTACTATTATCCATTTTGCTGCTGTTGCCAAATTTGTTATTAATTCTTTAATGCATCATTTCTTTTGGTAAAATATTAACAGAATTGTTATTTCAGCATCTGCTTATATAGCATATTATCAGTCAATAAGGCATTTGTAAAATGGGTAAATTTAGAAGACAGATGAGAAATATTTACCCATTTTATAAATGGAGTACATAAAGTTTTCTGTGAATTAAACATGAATTAAAAATACGGAGTTGTTATATGCCATCATATGGTCTCCAATTCACAGCAACCCTATGAATGCTCTCCAAAATATCCTATCCATGGCAGCCCTGCTCAGGGCTGTGGTTTCCGAAATGTATGGAGACTGCAAAATAGTAACAACAAGGTAGGCTGGGCCTACCCATTACACATTCAGGCAGGCAGTGCCACCCAGCCCGCCCCCCTGAATGCCACCAGATTCTCAGTCCAGGTGCTTCTTGTGGATTAATTGTGTCAGTTCCTGCAGTATAAGTTGGTAACCGTCTTCTTCCTGCTATGATGAGGGTATATTTCTCTTCATTCTTCACTCATTTTTTTTTCTGCCATTTCAAAACTATCTGACCTCTAAAGGTTCTGGAGCTGCTGCCCTTGTACAAAAAGCATAATCATTATGCTTGATAGAATGCTTCTCTTAGTTGCAATCTATCTGTACACTATGATTAAAATCGGGGGCTTCCCCCAAGTGTCATCTATAAGGGAGGCTTGGAGGGAAGTCCTGCCCTCAACTATGGAATAATATTCCCTGCTGCCTCCTGCCTGGTGTTATCTTTTGGTGCCAGGTTAAGACATCCCTCTGTGCTGAGGCATTTAAAAATACAAGTTATCTAATGGCTGGATGTGGTCCATGTCTGGTGTTCTAATCAGGACAATGTTATAAAACACACAGTTTTAGAGTGTTTATACTGTTTTTAATTTTTGTATCACAGAAAAAATATGATTGTTTCTCTTGTATTATGGTCCTGTTTGGAACTGTTGTAAGCTGCCCAGAAAGATTTATTATTGGGTGGTATATAAAACAAACAAACAAACAAACAAACTAGGGAACACCAAGTAATCACATTTCAAACTAGATACTAGGATGCATAATGAAACACTACTGTGAGAATCCCATAAAACGGATGCAACAGTAATTTAGGTTTTTGTTTAGAGGACTGACCTAGGAAATGTTATATGCTAGCTAGAGGAGCAGGATGAGGTAAACAATGTTCATGTCAAATAAAGATCAAGAAGAATCAACGAGAATTTTGTCATGGAAATTCCAAGCCTGAATTATTTGCTTTCATGTTTTTAAAAATAAAAAGTTTGTATTGTTTTTTCCTACAAAGATATAAGAAAACAAATGTCACTGATTGTTTCATGGGATTGCTACTTCTAGGGAATGAGTGCAAATGACACTCAAAGTACACAAACTGGTTGTATAGTAAAGGCAGTTAAAATAACAATAAAACATTTTATTTTATAATAAATTTATAAGAATAATAAAATACAAATAAAAATCAAATGAATAAAAATATGAACACAGCAAAAAGTATTAAAACAGAAACCAAAACATCACACCCACATCGCACAGCAAACACAAAAAAACAGAGAAGCAGACAGAATGACTGATGAGTACCTCATACTTATTTTAATGTGATTAAATTATTGAGAGAGTGAAAGAGAAGTTTGAAATGATCTGCATCTGCCAAGTTCAGCACTGTAAAGTGTCTGGTTTCAGGCTTGCTCTAAGGCTGATGTGCAGCACATACCTTTCAGCACTGACTTTGTATATCTCTAAAGCATGTAAGAGGAAGGGAGGAAGAGTGTTCTTGCATCCCTGCATTTCCTATTCTGTCCAGTCTTTCCTTACCCTCTCAAAGACAGTTTTTGGATTGGTGGCAGACAACCAATGCATTTGGATGTATCAGTAAACTACAGTTTTACCAATGGATTCATCAGCTTTCCCTGGTAAACATTTCTTCTAACTACAGTTCAGCATTATAAACAGTATTCTTCATAAAGGTTTTACTAAAACGAGCCAACTTCAAACTGAGAATTAATGTTATGGTTTAGGACTTTGTCAGAGGAAAATTGTTAATGTTTCACTTACATATTTATTTTTTTCTGGGCAAGTACTTTCAGAAGCTTAATGTTTTGTTTCATAACCTTTATAGGGTTCCACTCTGCCACAAATATACTTGGAATGATACAACTTTCAATTAAAGAGGATGGATTTGAGTTTTACTAGATTCCAGTCTTTCCCATTCATATTAGATTTTTTTTCTCAGTTCTAGAATCTTCATGTTGGGATCTTCTTCCCAACTGGATTAGATTGGGCTTTTGGCACACCAAAACGGATAGGATGCTATTACAGTTACAGCAGCTACGGAGTTGTGCCTCATATTTTCATGCAAAATTATCTCTATGGGGAAATGTGGAGTTAAAGATTGACAGGAAAATCTTTATTTACTAGACTTGGACAGACTAATTTTTACTTTGGATCAGCTGGTAAATCCTGATGATAGCTTTCTGCCATTTTCTGCTTTCCATGTTAATTATAAATGGCCAGCTATGGCTGATTGGCAGGTTTGATCCTTCTGCTTTCATGGCTTTAGAGTTTTGGAAGTATTGAGTGAGAGTGAACAACTGCACTGACATACAAACTATGTATACAACTATTTATTATTGGTAAATAAACATTATTTACAGGCCCTTAGGCAAGAATGAAATAACTGAAACAGTCCATTTTGCCTAACTGATGGCATTCTTGAATGTCAGGTTACATCTAATTCAACAAAATTTTTGAATATACTAGATGTTACAATGTATTTTCTGACAAAATCTTAACTTTTGTTGTTATTGTTGCTAGTCACAAAGTTGTGTCTCACCCATCGCGACCCCTTGGACAACACTCCTCCAGGCCTTCTTGTCCTCCACCCCCCCCCCCCGGAGTCCACGTAAGCTCACACCGCTTCAGTGACTCCATCTAGACACCTCATTCTCTGCCGTCCCCTTCTTCTTCTGCCGTCAATTGTTCCCAGCATTAGGTTCTTCTCCAGTGAGTCCTTCCTTCTCATTAGGTGGCCAAAGTATTTGAGTTTCATCTTCAGTATTTGGCCTTCTAAACAGCAGTCAGGGTTGATCTCCTCTAGGATTGACTGGTTTGATTGTCTTGCAGTCCAAGGGATTGGCCAATTGCTGAAGATGCAGTACAGCTAATGCTTCTCTTATTTATGTTTTGGCAATGTCCAATGGGTGCTTCCATTTGGGAAGAGGTAATTGTACCTCCCACTAATGGAAGGCAATGATGTCCATTTCCTTTTCTTTTTCCTAGTCAATGGAAGTCTAGAAGTGCGCAAGCCATCGAAAACCATGTATTACTTTTGTTTCCCCAAATCTCTGGAATTTGTATTCATTTTCAAGCATATTCTGCAGCCATACGAAGTGTAAAATATTACTTTGAAAGTAAAACTGACACTTTCAGTTCTGTATCACATTCTGTGCTTTTCTTGTGCTTGCACAGAACCTTAGAATGGTTATAATAAAAATATAATAAATTTGAGAATTATCATTTACTAATAAACATAGTAGAATATAATACTTACTGGCTCTGAGGATGTTCTCCTTACTACTGCACCTGGATTGGACCTGTAGAGAGAAGCATAAAACTGATGAGGCAGATCAAATAGGCATTAGTGACTATGGAAATTGAATGGGCAAGCTCCTGGGAGCTGGAGATAGAGGCTATATTCCGTTTTTTCTTTCTTTCTTTCTTTTTTTTAACCAGTTATATCTGCAACATGACATGTATTTAACTGATGTGTTTGTTGATTGACAGTTTCAATCAAATAAAAACACTAAACATAAACCAGACTATAAAACAATTTTTGGTTAACATTTTAAGATTAATGATTTAAAGATGCATATTCAATTAGAATGCTAGACTTTTAAAATTTTACTTCACTGAAACAAAATGGTGAGAAAAAGGTAATTGAATCTAGTTCTTGTATTTTACTTCAAATCACAAAAGAGTACATAAATCTCAACATACTGCAGAAAATATGCTTTAGCAAAAGTATGATCCAGGATAGCAAAAGTAAGGCAAAAATGCTATGAAGAAATTCTGGCCACTTTTAGCAATTTGTTTTGCACTTTGATCAGTCACTTTTTGTTGGAGACAATACATTTAATATTTTATAGGTGCCTGATACGGCTTTAAAGAAATGCTACACTTAATGTGGCTTTTACATTTAAAAAGCCAATAGAAACATGGTACCTACTTAATTTATAATATGGTTTTCAACTAGGCACTCCTTGAGCAATTAGGCAGTACATATGGAAGAAGGACCTTGCTTTGGTCATATACAACCTCAATTGCCATGTTAAACAAGTGTATAATGTTAAGGGTTCTACCCTTGGCATGTCCTGGATTTGTATATTCCTCTTTTCCCTTCAATCCTTGTTTATGACCAGAAGGAAAGGCTGAAAATGTTTTCTGAACTAACCAGAATTTTCTATTATGTCTGAGCTTGGAGAACTTTGATTAGTTTAAACCAAGAATGGGAAACTTTTTTTTCCCCTATGAAGGGCTTCTGACCCACAAGAAAAGTTAATTCAGAGTAAGGGACACGGGTAAGTGGAACTAAATCCAGTGGCAGGTGATTTGCAGGATTGCAAACTGTGCTTTCTCTCTCTCTGCCTGCTCCATCTCTCTCTCCTTCCCACCCTATGTGCCATCCTACATGAAATATGGACATACTGTGGTTTATGATCCTAGTTTCTTCACTAATAGATTAAAACTCACCAGAATTCCCTGAATTTGGACATAATAAGACATCTGGTTAATTTAGAGGTGAAAGCATGTGGTTCCAGTCTCCTCTGAAGCACAGAAAAATGAGAGGCAAGGGTAGGGTGCAAGCCTCAGACTTGTCACAGCTCATACACATAATTCTAGAGACGTTTATAGTGTCTTCCTAATCTGATACATTAGCTGTTTGAATATATACAAGTGCTCTATTTGTAGAATAAATGCTCAGGAAACAGCACTATGATAATCTGCAGAGAATACAAGAACACCAGTGTATGCGTATATAGTGGCAACCACTAAAAATAGTATTTGAAAAATTGTTTGTTTTTTTTGAAAATTTGCTTTTTTCTGTGCTTGTGTAATTCCAGTGAAACTGTTGACAGTAGTGCAGTTGATATTATACTATTATGAATAATTAGTCTATGTAAGCTGCTTTGGGCTTCTCACAAGAGGAAAAAAAGGTGGGAAATAATAAATATATTATTATTATAATTACATTGCACTTATTTGAGATGAAAATGATAAGGTATCGAACTAGATATATAGTTCAAATGGCATCCTGCATATAATAGAAACACTTTTCATTTTTACTCTTCAGTAATACAGCTAGAGGGAAAGAGTGCAAGTTAGATATGAATGCAGAGTCAACATTATGGACATAACTGTTTGGCTAGATTACCCTTCCAGGGCCAATTGCTAAAATATTTGCATATGTAAGACAATTACCCAACCCATGGAAGAGAGCTGTGTGTTCATTTCAACAGGTACCAACATCTGAATTAGGGAACATAATATTATATGTACTGCTAATGGTACAGATTGCCTTTCAAAATATTTGTTGCTTCTAACAACATAAGAAGAGTCATGCTGGATCATCCAGTCCAGCATTCTGTTTCTGCCCTGGAAAACTAGATGCCTATGGGAAGTTCACCAGCAGGACATGTGCACAATAGCACCTTTCTGTTCATATTGACCAGCAACTGGTATAGAGAGACATGCTGCTTCTGATATTCGATGTATGACATAGTTGTCATAGCTCATAGTTATTGACAGTCTTATCTTCCATGCATGTGACCAATCCCTTTTAAAGTCATCCAAGTGGGTGGCAATCATAACATCTCCTGTTAGTGAAGTCCATAGTTTAATTATACTATTAAACTATGTATTACAGATTGAATCAGTTCTGAATCTCCCACTAATCAGTTCCATGGGATGATCCTGAGTTTCACTAATGAGTCAGAAAAAAATCTCCGTGTTTTCTTTCTCCTTACCATGCTTAATGTTATACACATCTACCACGCTCTTGTGTGGAAGTAAGGGGGGAAAGTCTAATCTTCCAATGCTATTTGTAGATTTAGCTGTAAATGAATCACATTTGATATGATTACTGAGGGGATAAACAGGAGATCTGTAATGTTGCCCCTGCAGTTACCTCTGGGTACACAGTCACCTTTTAGGTATGAACCAAATAATCATGGAAAGATATTACATTTTTAAACCTCTTTCTTCTGTTCCACAGCAGCTTGCCCCGAACATGCATCAACACAAGAAGTTGGGATCTATATTATTAACACAGGTCTTTCTATTGCAAATCAATAATGTATGCTAGAAGTGCTGCAACTTAGAGAGGCTTATGGTTCCCTTTCCCCACCCCAAGTTTCATTTTAAAAAGCAAAACCAAACAACCCCCTCCAAAAAAACAAAAACATCATTATACTTCAAATAAAACATCAGTGATACCACATTTTGGCCCAGAATTGCTTTCCCTTCACCTAAAGATTGTTTATTCATCTATGCATTAAATCCAACAGAAAAGGAAATTACTTTCTTGATTCTACTCTAAATAATTCTGGACCAAAAAGATAACACAGTAAATGTGCTCTCTCCCCCCTCCTCCCCCGTGTATCTGAGAGAGAGAGAGAGAGAGAGACAGAGTGCGCACACATGTGCATGTGTGTGAATGGAAGTTAAATAATGTGTGTGAGCAGGGTTGGGGCAGGAAAACTTCAAAGATGTGGTATGCAAAAGAAATGAGATTGTTTTTCATAGGTGGAAAAACAGTAAGTAGGCGATTTGCAAAAGTAAAGAACTTAAAACACATAGAGGAGAAAAAGTGCAGAAACAAAAACACAAACACAGGGACAATCTAAACTCTAGATTCTAGGCGAGATTATGTGGAAAAATGATTTACTGGTAACAGGTAAGAGCAGTAAGATGTTAAGGACAGTACTAAAGTAGTAAATGGAAGTAAAGCGAATCTGCAACAATGAGGAGAAACAGAAGAAGATAAAAACCATAGCGCAAACTAAAGTTTGCGAATGGAAAACAGCTCCTTTGAGCAGTAATAGTTACTCTTGAGTCGTAGTCTCTATTCCTCCTGAGTTCATCTTTAAGCCCTTCCAATTTATAGTGGAGCTAGCACACGGACAAAAACAAGAGATTTATAATAAAGATAACAGCCAAGACTTTTTGGATGACTCATCTAATTTTAAAAAGGTTAGAGACTAACACTCCTCCGATGTTGAAAAGGAAGCTGCAAAATTAGGTACCTGGTTTCAAAAGCAGCCTTCAAGAGTAATCTTCTTTTGTGCATGCAAAGTACTTAAATGACAAATCTGTGGGCTGTTCTGGAGGGACTCACTGTAGGCTTGAATTTACAGTTTATCACTCAAATCATTAACAACCAATTATTACGGAAAATTATAAAAGCAGTGATGATATAGAGCAGCATGGGATGAAAATCACACTCTATCTAGATGTGAATGTTTCCTATTTGAACTCCAGTTGCATCTATAAACAATGCATCTATAACTTAAGAAATGATCCATGTTGGTCTTTGTTTCTTTATAATGTATTCCAATAGCATGTATTCTAATTTTTGTAATTAAAGGAACTAAAGTTGCACTACTGTCCGCTTTATTTCTCCAAACATTTAAAGCAACTGTGAGACTGGATTAATATATTAATAAAATGGTGTATGAGCTGAAGTGTGGCTGTTGCCCATTTCATTTTAAGGAAGGCCTTGGCAGTTATAGGTGACCCATAAATATGTGTATAAATTAATAAATAATGTTTGAAGGGAAGTGAGTATGTAGAGACGCTAATAGGTGTGATTAATTTCCATTCTTGTGTTTGCACTGTTATGCAGAGATATGTGGAACATAATTCTCCATTTGTAGTAAGTTGAACACCTATCCTATGCACACTTACCTGGGAGTAAACATCTCTAATATGGAATCTCTTGCTCCCAAATAAACGTGCATGGGATTGTGTTGCTCGTCTATGTCTCACCCACAGGCTGCTCCTGAGATAGTAAAATGCGCATCTCTTTTGTACTATAATTCTAGACGTAATGTTTTCTGTTTGCCTTCTCTTTGCTCAGAGTTTAACTTTGCAGATGTAACTTGGGCTAAATGGAATTGCACCCAGCATTACTCTGAATTGCTCATGAGAAAGTATTAAAAAAGCAGAACTGTTTTCATTGTTCAAAATTAAACTGGTATACTCTTTTAACGTTTGTATTGTAAATGTTGAATAACACTTTCCAGAAAAATGAGTGTTAAGCCATAAGTAAAATAAAACACTTAAAGCAGAGAAAATGATGAATATGTGATACTTCATAATGTAACTATGTACTATGATAGTTCAAAATCATGAAATCTGTGACTGCAACAAATAGTCTTAAATCCATCTTTTATCTTTTATGTCAAATCAGTACTTTTTAGGCTAACATTAAAAAGAAGTATGAAATATCCATGCTAAACATGAAAAAATTGTGTGTGTGTGTGGGGGGGGCACGGGACATAACCAGCTGCACTACACCAAAGCCACTATACAACAA